GGTGCCCAAAGGTGTTTTGGAGGAGTGGTTCACCACATTTCAGTCTGTCAAGTCTCTACATATGTCGTCAAGGATCGATATGCCGGAAAATGCTAAGAGTGCGGCGCGAGTACCTCTGATGCTGTGGGACCCTAAATCCAAAGTGGGCGTTTCTTCATTGTCGAGCGTCGACAAGTTGAGCTACGCTAAGGCATGTCTGGGCCGAGCTCTGGTGAGTCTGGTAGCAGCTGAGGATAATCACAGTCGGATTGTTGCACAACTGGATGGGAAGAAGAACATCATCGCTGCACGGGATGCCGCAATCGTGACTTTGAAAGAGGAGTCGGCTAAAGTAGAGGTCGACATGAAAGGTAAAATTTCTAAACAAGTTGCTCAGTTAGAAGTGGCACAGGCCGAGATCTCGGCATTATTCGAGGAGAAGAGGGCCTTTCAAACCAAAGTGGCTGAACACAAAAAGCGCCTTGCCTTTGCCGAACAGCATTCTAAGGCTTTGGAAGCCAAGGTCGAGGAAGTGGAGGAAAAACTGCGGCAAGAGAAGAGTGAGCATGACGCGACTCGGAAAGAATGTACCAATGTTCTTGAACTTATGGGCCGGCAGCAGGATGCCTATCAAGCCGAGATGGCGAAGCTCGAAAAAGAAAAATCCTCTTACGGTGAAACCATGTATGAGATCGGTTTCCAAGCAGGGAAAGAGACTGTTGCAGTTGCAGAACCGAAGTATGGTGATGATGCCGAGGTAGAAGTTGCTGACGCCGGTGGGGATGATGAGGTCGGTGGGCCTGACCTCGAAATAGAAATGAACACTTGCTTTAACCTCCGTTGGGTGATAGAGCGGTATACTACTGGCTATTATGATATGGACGAGCTGTGATTTTTCTTGTTCCACAAACTCCAGAAATATGGCTTTGACATGGAAGTCAAAGCCATGCATATTAAAGCCGATGAAGATGAGCGGGAGTTCTGTGTATGGATGCTCCGCCGAGCTGAGGAGATGGCTGCGAACCCTGACTTACCTCCACTCTCCGAAGAAAGGGCGGCCCTCCTCCGACGTGCTTATGTCAATACGATTCTGGAGGGAGAGAAAGAGAAATGGAAGGAGCTGGTCGATATCTATGTCACAACGCTCGCCGACGTGGAAGTGGAGCAGAATTTCGACAACATGGCTCCAGAACAAATCCGAAGCATGGTTGAGGCTTACATCGAGGAAAAAGCCAAGTCGACGGACAGGGAGGTCGAGATTACTAAGGTCGTGACGCCGGCTGAGACAAATCCGACAAAGTGAGGGACCCGCATGATGAGCTTGTTCCGGTATCGGATGCGGCCATCGGTGATGCCGCCAAGGAAAAAAAATAGTCGTCTTGGAGCAATTATCCACCGGGGTGGAAGTCGGAGAAAGTAGTGGTGTTGGCCAAGATGTCGAGGGGAAGAATGACGCTGCTTGAAGTTCTCGAACGCTTTTACTTTTATATTTTCAGTTTGTTACGTTTGAAGTGTGTAGTCGGGGTTCCAGTATGTTGGCATCGTTAGTAGGAAATATATAATTTTAAATTTTCTGACTTAAT